CAATGAACCAACCAGTACAGTGGGAAGGACAGGGACTATATACTCACACTGGAAAACGAGCAACAGGTGAGGCAGACGAGACACAGGTGACACTCGTTAACTGATTAACGAAGGAGGGAAAACTTGGGAAGTAAAACCAGTCTAGAAACACAAAGAATCAACTACTACAAAATAAAACAGGAAACACTTAAAACTGGTCAGACACAAACTGAAAAATCACAGGACATGACTACAGGGGAACAGGAACACTGAGGAAAATACAAAGAAAATACAAAATCAACAAAACTAAATCAACAGAAGATATCATGACAGATTTCACTCTTCACCTACTGTTGATCTGACTGAGTCAGAAGTGAGGCTTTTTTAACCTTCAGAGTCTTTCCATTTTAAATCAAATAACATTTCACTACAATGTGTTTCATTGTCTTCTATTTTCCCCTTACACTGTAAATGTGCCTGTGGTCTTCTTTACCACATTCCTGCCCTGAGCAGGTGTGGCATTTGTAGGCGAGTATCTGAAAAACCTCAGACGGTGTGTTTTTGTGTACATCTTTGATCCCACAGGTTGGTTTCCAGATGTGACTGCTGCTGGGGTGTGTGAGTCATCGCGTCTGATGAAACCCCCCGCCGCACCGTCTTCATACCTGAGTGCTACCAGACATGTCAGTCTGTATAAGAGTCTGTGAGGGTTTTCACGCGTTAAATATGTGTTTTCTGTGAGGTTCACGGTCAAATATCACCTTCCTCGCTCGCTTTTACAGCCCGTGTCACACATTTCACCCGTAAACCCTCTCCCTCACAAACTTTAAATCTTACACTTCGCAGACAAAACAAGCTGGCGTCCAGACGGCAATGAGACGACACCTCAGGGCCATTTTTTACGCATGTTCCATTTCTTACCGTCTGATTTCATAATCCTAACGACTTTGAGACCTTGAGCTGTAATCTTGAAGACAAACTTTCCCAAACCTGGCACAGTCTGGTTCTTCATGCTGCGTAATTTATGGCTTTCGTTGGCCAAGAGGAGTCACGAAGGGACAAGCGCTGGAAATGCAACATGGACTTACAACATAATCATATGGTAGTTTGACCCACATTCATCTATGAATGTCTAAAATGGTCTTACTTACCTCATGCAATGACTTTTCCTGTCCATTTTTTTAAGCAAACCACTCGATTAAGAAATAAATTTAGAGGGGATCAAGAAATACTTTAACTTTCTTGTACGTCAGCCTGTCTAAACTGATTCTAAGTTTGCAGTCAACTTGCAAAATTAAAATACAAACCCTTAATTGGAGGTATGTCTTCTCTGCAGCACCATAATCACTGCGTTGTAAAGGTAACCCCGCCACTAAAGACATTAAAGGATATAAACAGACTCAGCTTTTTGTCTCCTCACAGATGAGCTAATGGAGTGAAGGAAAAGCACCGTAAGCTTTGTGTAACAATTAAAGCGAGCTCACACAACTTTACAGGCTGCTTTTGTTTGAAGTAATTACAGTGCGAGGAGAAGAGCCCGAGGCGAAGTGTGAGGTGTGTGAGTCATTGTTGTTCATCAGCAGAAAGGAGAGAGTAGAAGACGATGTTTACAGCGCAGGGGAGGTGTGTTTGTGTGTTTATATGTGGGTGGGGGAGGAGGGGGAGGTGGTGTTTGGGTCACAGTCAGGGACAAAAGTGAGCCAAATGGCAAAGGTCACTGGATCAGAGGGACGGGGTGAGACACACACCTGTTTGAGAAGGCAGAGTTTGATCATCTTCATTATTTAAAGTTTTAACATTTTAAACACCTTTATCCAAACAATCCGAAGCTTTACCGCGAGATTTCATATCTTACTGAGTGTGATAAACTTAGACTTTGGTGATGTGGGAAAAGACACCTGAAGGAGTGGACTGAGGGTATTCAGATCTCTGAGGACAACAAAGAAAAGGCCGACTAAAAACCTTTTTTGATCCAGATCATTGAATTCAAGAAGCTGCCTGAAGACTTTTCTTTACTGTCTTTACTTTGTTACATGTTGTCAGAGTGAAAAAAGTCACAAGTCATCAGGCCTGCCAGCCATTACCATAAAAATAAATGTAGATCTCCATTCAGAGGAGAGCTAGAGTTAGAGTTGCAGAAGGATGCTACCTTAGCAAATTTTGGGAGAGGTCCCTACACACCGGGAGTGACGCAGGTGAATTTTGACGCACCTGACTATACACATCAAGTGCAATGCAATTTGGTGACTTTCCGGGGGGAAAAAAAAGACGCAGTGGTGTTTTCAGTTCTGATTAGACACTAGTGTTGAGATGTCTGTCTGTCATGATAGCATGTACTGAGTCGGGGGCCAGTACCAGATAAGCACATTAAACTATAATCCATAAACGTAAGGTAACAACTGAGACCTAATGGTGCTGTGACAGCAACAGGATTGAGTTTGAGACAGTGAAAATACATATGGTATGTTGTATCTGAACAGGTTAGCTTACAAGCTAAAGTACAAGCTTTTGTTCCGCATATTCTGTTGAAACATGTAAAACGTTTGCCCTTCTTTTCTTTATTGTGCAATTTGACTGCATCCTTCTGAGCTACAGATTCTTGTTTTCATGCCCTTAAAGGCTAAACTAGATTTGTGCACTGACCTTAAAAAAAAACATGGGGACCAGGTTTGCACTATTTTGCACCACTTGCACACATATGTAGACATTAAACATTTCCTCCTATCGTTAAAAAAGAGCAGAAGAAGGGAAAAAAAGCTGACATTGCAACCGTGACCTATTTTGGAGCCAAGAGGTCTGCAGAAGTGATCCGATTGGTGAAGCTGTGGCATTAATGTCATGCTTCTCAGCCTATCAGAGCTCACACAAAGGTCAAATATGTTGATTTGAATCAGACGCTCATAGTTACACAAAATTCAATGGTTCTAGTGTCCATGTTTGTTATCATTTTTCCCCCACACTAACCTGCTTAAGACTGTAAACCAAATTATACATTTTCAGTCAAGGATCAAATCATTTCAAATCCTGCTGACACTCATTAATTTGACCTTTAAAACTTGACTGACTTCTCATTCATTCATTCAGTTTCATCGCTGCTCTCCTTCAGCATTTCCCTCTGCAAAAACTGGCAACCATCTCTGTCCACTATCTGATGCTTTCATGCTCTACATACCACATTTCCACTGAGTGTTTCTGTCATAAAACTGCAGTGTGGACCTCGCTGCTGCACACAAGCATCAAATACTCTGCAGCATACACCAGCTTCCACTCGAACAAGTCAAAAATATCTGGTTCTGTGGAGTAAATTTATCTCATCCAGGTTTTTTTAATAGTCTTTGAAACTAAACTGGATGAGTTACATAAATACGCCAAAATAAAATTGAGCATGTTTTCTGATACGAATGAACGTGGGGGAAATCTTCTCTGACTCAAACTGAAGCTGACAGCTGTAGATGTCTGGACAAAACCACAGAGAGTCTCTGAGACTCAGAGGATTGAGGATGACAGCCTGAAATCTGACTGACACATGGAGATAATGGAGGCTGATCGGGTAAAAATAGCCCAAACCTGAGCTGAGAATGCGTTTGCTCACGTACTCTCACCTTTTATTGGGGTGTACAGTCGAATTCAAATGGAAATATCAACAAAGCTGTCTGAATTTGACAGGAAATGGTATTGTATAAGAGGAAACGTGGCATAACAGGAAGGGAAATGGGTGTATGTCCCGGGTAAAAACAGGTAATAAAAGAGAAGAAGGGAAAGAGATTAGAGGGGAAAGTTTAAGTGTTTCTGGCCGGGAATATGACCAGATTTTCTGTTTTGATAACAGAGATGGCTTTAGTGTGAAAGTGATGGAGAGGGAGGCAGTATGGAGAGAGGCAGTGGCTGGTTTACACTGAAAACAGGTGAAGGGTGCCCCCTGCTGGTTAGACAAACTAGAAATGACTTCAAAACACTGACTTTTATTAGGCTTTTGTCACAATTAAAATTAATTCTTCTCTGAACTGAACCAATAAAGGTCTAACACTAATACAGGGTATCATGCTGTATACTGACTCTGTTTCATGTGAATAAGTTTCCTGTTTTTTCAGACATGTATTTTTTAAATTAGTTTATAATAAAACTTCCCTCAACTAAATTTTGGATTGCATCGATTACTGAGTAAAATATTGAAAACCAAAAAGGATACAAGCCTCCCATCAACAGCATGACAGTCAGCTAACTACAAAACATCTACCACCCGGTGACCAGGTGAACTTTAACAAAGAGGAAGAATACGCAGGTTGAAATCACTATAAGAGACACATTCACAGCTTGCAACCTGATTTTTATTCATACAAGCCATCAAATCATATAATATTGTATCCTATCTTATTATATCATATTCAATCATACTGTTTCGTACCATACTGTATACTGTATCCTAATATATCGTATCGTATTGTATCGTAACATATTGTATTGCATTGTATCGTATCGTATTGTATCATATCTTATCGTAACATACTGTATTGCGTTGTATAGTATCGTAACACTTCCTATCATATAGTATCGTCATCAAATTCTGGTCTCCTATCATAAATATTTTGCTGGGGCAGAAATGCTTCAGCGTATAATTTTGGGGTCATTCTTGTTTTTGAATAAAGTCCTTTTTTATTTTTACCTGATTAGACTCTCAAGCTGGTGGTTTTATTTGCACTGCATGTGTAATATTTAATCAGAGTAACTGTGTATTTATCAAAGTAGAATATTTTAGTATTCCTCCTCCCCTTTCCTTCCACTTGTTTTCTGACCCATCACTCGGCCAAGTTATATTCTTAAATCTGATTGGTCATACACCAAAACAGTAACTCCATAACTCTGTGTGTAATGCTAGAGGAAAGTGTGAATAAGATCAACTACACGACAAATCTGTTTCATCTGTCATAAATTCAATGTGAGTTGAATTTCTTTTGTTGAGGAAAAGGGGACGGATGATATTTGATGGTAAACTCGTTCAAGAAAGAAAAAGCTAAATCTTGTTTATTGATTTTTAGAGCAGCAGCCTTTTATTAGAGCGTAGGAGAACACAAAACAGCAGACTCAAACATACAAGACAAAACACAAACAAACATGAGATGGACTAATATCAAACCCTTACTTCGTTCATGTCACAGTTAGGAAGGTTAAAAACTCACACTTTGCACAAGTCAGCCTCAGTCACAATCAGGTAATTCAAGTCAGTTAAACATATCTGTGCGCTTGACATCGTCTCACCACACACATTCATATTTTACATATTTCATATAGCCGTGCAGCACGTTTCTCCTCCTGGTGTCTGGAGAGAGAGATTTTCTTCCTACCTGCTGTCATTATGTAACGGTCATGTCAGTCTGCCAAGTCTCCAGACTGAAATCCCCTGCCCTCCAAACAGGCTAAGTGAGAAAGTGAGATAATCTGTGACTAATCCGGCTATTATAGCCTTTAATCTCTTAATCCAGGTTTTGATAAAATACAGATTGGATTAAGTTTGCTGACAGGTGTGAAGGCCTCTTTTTGTGGTTTGGAGAGCACTTTGAGAAGGAAGATATCAACGGACGACCCGTTTAGAGCCGCCTTAAAGAGACGACGCAGTCTAACATCTGTTGTGTTTATCTCCACCTTGTGTATCTTATTTCTACACGCTCCGTCTCAGAATGATAAAACCTTTTCTACTGTATATCTTCCATCTCTAAGTCTTTTTTCTGGGTAGTCAAAGTGCTGAGTTTCTAGATTTTCAAAAGAAACCAACTTGAACCAAACATCAACAAATCGTTGTTCTATTATCTCTCCTTTCTCCCAAAGAATGAGGGACTAAAAATAGACTTTGACTGTAAATGTGTCCTGAGAGTATTTGGATCTGAAATTGAGAAGTTAAGGCTAAAACTTTGGTTGAACTTTGCTCATCAGCATGAGATGACTGAAACGAAGACTGGAGATGTTTTTAAAGGGACAATAAAGTGGACTTTTAGGGCATCCAGTGTTAAATATATTCTGTCAAACTTCCTCCATACTCCTAAATCATTTCCTTCATCATGTATTTCCTCAGATTTCTTCATCACATCATTTAGTTGCTCTTGGTCTTCAGTTCTGCCAGCTTACTGGTGACAAAGTTCCACTTAAAGGATGCATCGCTGCTCCCTCCTCCTCCTCCTCCAAGTGAGACGTATTTAGAGAAGCTGTTGTTGCTGCTCCTTCCTCCCCCTCCTCCTCCTTCAGCCGCCGCCCCCTCAGCGGACTGCCCATCCTGAGAGGCCGTCGCCTCCCCTATGACTCCTGTCACCCCCTCCTCACCCTGCCCCGCTGCTACTTCATTTGCTGAAGCAGCAGCAGCTGCAGCTTCTGCCTGCTTCTTGGCAGCCCAGTTGGTTGCAAAGCTATCCCAGAATCCTGAGCGCCTGGTTGGTCGAGGAGGTTCTTCTGGTTTTACTGCTAGAGGGCTGAGGATTCAAAGAAAGTGGTGGAGGGGTCAGTAAAATACTGTTTTTCATACATTATTGACCTAATTAAACTTTGTTTAAAATTTATAAGACAAAAAAAGTTGGCCAAAGGTTTAGATGGATAGTTTTATTGGTAAATCCAGATCCTGAAATCTGCTTACCTGGTACTATCCAAAAGTGACTAAATAAGCTCATGAACAACAACCTCAGTTTTTGAGCACTTATTCAAGCCAAAGCTCCTGTTTGCCTTTTTTTTTGCACCAGCTTATGTCTTAAATGTTGTTTTTACTGTACTCCTCTTGGATGTACCTCCCCCTGGAAAAAAGCATCTGATAAATGAAGCTGTATCTTTGTAACGGAGTGTTTAAGTAGCATATTGTGTACTGAAATTGGCAACACCTTTAAACACTGATCACAGAGGCCTCAAAACGAATTTTAAAATCACTCAAATCACCAGCATTTAATTAGCTATAACTTTAAAGCTGGTTTTAATACCTGAGATTGCTGCCATGGAGTCGGTGTAATGAGCGATAGAAGAAAGCAGAGTTAGCTTTATGTCACAAAACACCAGCGTGACCACTTTGTCCACAGGGGTCGCCAAAGTCAACACAAACTAAAACCCCAAAATCCTTACAGGAGCTTAAATTTTAGCAAATTTTAAAAATTTTAACCGGAGATAATTTCACAAATGAAACTGAAAAGTAATGAAAAAAAGGCATATACTGTAGGTCCACACACTGACCCTGTTACCCTCATGAGACCCACAGATGGTTTGAGGAACAGTGTAAACCAGGAGAGAGGATGAAAGCAATAAGAGGAGACAGACTTCACTCACTGGTCTGGGACGGGCGGGCTCTCTGTCTCCTCGAGGAGTTGATGTTCATCTTCTTTGTTGAAGAGAGATGATAGTCTGTTCCAGCTTTTAGTCCCGGCCCCCTGCATCTGCACACAACAGAAAACATACACACAGGGTCAAAGGTTAATAACGGTATGCGATAAAGTGGTTTCAGGGGATCAGATGAACAATAGTCCTCTGTATTACATGTAGAGACAGACTTCCTGATGAGTTTCCTACTTTTATAATACCCTGAAATCGTGTGCTAACAGAGAGAATTATGAACAATTATTTTCTTCTCTTTAATGTGTCTTTAAGAACATAAAACATCCCAATCACCTCACTGGAAAACATAACAAATGACCAGCAGTTCAAACCTGTTGCTGCATGTTCCTCCCCAATGTTTTATATATCTTAAGACATTTTTTAAGGCTTACTCTTGTGGCATTGCATGCTAAGTGCAGTGTACTCGTGCTGTGACAATACTCGTGACAATAAACATGTATTGTAACTTGGAGCTGACGATGTCCACATACTTTCCTGGCCAACTGGGACACAGCATTTGGTCCCTCATCCTCCTGCACAGGACTCACGTCATTCTCCACCTCTGTGACCTGCAACAGCATAAAACAGATTAAAGATGTGCTCTTTACCTGTTCAAACATTAAAGTCTGAGCTTTTCTTTAATTTTCATGTCCAACATAGGTACAGACAAACAGGATTTCAGAATACAAGGTCGCCATCTAGTGCATATTGTGGATACTACAACCAGCAGAGGACCCAGGATAGGACTGGTGATTGACAAGTAGATGTTAGATTTATTGACATGACATGTTTGAAGTGCTTTAATTCCTTTTTGAGGGAATATAAATGTTTGTAAAGTGAGTTTTTGGACATCATTTTCAAAAGAATATACCGCAGACATCCCTGCACATCCTGCCAAATGAATATCAGCTCAGTAAGTCCAGATCTTTCCTTCAGATGCCCCGACTGGCCTTGCAAGTGAAACAGGCCCTGGTTATCTGTCCTTCTTGTCCACCATGTCAGTGTCAGTGGAATGCCAGCTAATCCGTTTGCTAGTGGATCAAATTTCTCAGCCCTGCAGAGATCTGGGTCAGCCCAATACTGAGTCTATATTGCTGGTATCAAACCCAGGAGATGTTGCGATAAAGCCACAACAAACCAGGTATCTGAGACAGTCAGATACTGACGTTAGAGTAATACAATGTGCTGTGTTTACACGTTACAGCCACAGCTGGAGCTACTTCTGGGGAAATTACTAGTTTTTTTTTCAATGTTTTGGTTCCTAATAATGTTTGCAAAATTAATGCATATGGTGAAATATACAGTCTTTTCCCATATCTGTAAGTTTTCATTAATTTTTAAAGGACTTTCGTCAAAGTTTTGCATTCTTGGGAAACTTTTTTTCCTGAAAAATAACAAAATACAAATCCTAAAAAATGGTTTAGGATAAGAAAATAAGAAAAATGCAAAAAATTAACATCAGTTATGAACTCAGCTTTCAGGAACTCTACTTGAGGCCTAACTTCTGCCTCAAAGTTCCCCTCACATGGAAAACAACAGCTTAGCCAGCTCATCTGACCCTGTGATGAATAAAAAATGATGAGCAAACAAAACCTGGTGACTTCCTGACTTCTACATCCACTTTCTGACACTCAAATATGAATCAGAGGATGAAAAAGAAGAGGAAGTTTTGAGTTCTGTACCTCGTCTGTAGCTTCATCCTCATACTCAGGGTTGAGGGTCTTCATCACTTTGCTCTTATACACCTTCAACATGGAATTCATACTTGCAGGAGTGGTTCGTTTCTCAGCACTCAGGTCAAGATGCCTCTGTGGTCCACCCTCTGACTAGTCTACACGTCCAGCTTCAACTTCAGCTCAGTTGGGCCAACTTGGACCAGTTTCCATGTGGGAAGTTCTCAGTAGCTCAGCGGCGCAGGGAACCTTTTAGACATAACGGTCCTCCCAGTCGGATTGATCTCTGTCTCGCCAAAGCTCACAGAGAGTTGACAGCTGCTTTCGTCCCTGCAGAGAGTCTGAACAGGTAAAGCTAGGAAGCTGTGCTGTTTGTGCATGCACTATCACAGGTGCTCTTGCACGCACACACACACACCCACACATGCTAAATTCAACGTCACGGTCCAGAATCCCTGCCTTGGTTACCTGGAGACAGGTGTAAGTTTCCTCATGCATATTTCAGAGGGTCTCTCTCCCAGTGCCAGTGGTCTGTTGTCAGCAGCGTCGGCAGACTGGCTCTTGTAATCCTGGTGCACTAAAACCTACACACACTTATGTACACTGACAGCTTTATGTTCGCATGAGGGACTTATTTGCACAATTTGATGCTGCAGCTGCTCAAATCACTTCTTTTCTAAGAACTTAATCCCAAAAACACAGTTTCATCACAATTGGGCCTCCACTTCTGCAAAATAATCTCAGTAAAATACTATTTTTATAAAAGAAAGGCCTATTTTTGGACCATTCATTTCAATCATTCAACTATTTGAAAACACTTGTGCTTGCTAGATTTTCATGGAAACAAGTTCAAACCATCACAAAGCGGCCCACTTTTCTTCCTCTGTTACCTGGCCTCGTCCTTGAAAGTCCTCCCCCTGCTCTCATTGACTGCTGCAGCTCATCAATCAGCCACAACAAGACTCAGGTGCACTGCAAGTGTCTTTTTTTTTTTTTTTTTTTTGAGACTGGGTCGCTTGGCAACCTGAGAGGGTTGGTGAGTGTCGAGTAGATAAAGAGAGGAGTATAAAGCTTTGATGACTGATAGGGTTTCAGTGGCTACAAACAACAATGCACCTGCGTACACAGCTAACACTGTTTCTCTTATTTGCTTTCTCATGTGCACCAACATTGATGCTAGCTTGACATCTAACTGCTCTCTTGGATTGCTACGATAATTTAAGTGCTGCCGAAAACTGATCGGACACTGTTGGGCTCATTTTGCATAGATGTACAGCTATCTGACAATATTGTTGATTATACATCAGGGAAATTTGACCTAAATTATCCGACAGCTTGATTACCATGAAGCTAAAGATCTATAAGATCAATGTGGATTTTAAAAGCACTTGAATGGATAACTCCTGTTGGAGAAGACTCTGAGGGATGTTAGTTGTTTGAGGAGCACAGCCAGTTTGTGTCATGGCTGCAGCAGCTCATGTTTGAGACTGGAAAAGACACAGACAAACTGTTAAAAGGGAATAAAGAAATAACTGCGTCTGGGATGGAAAAAGAGATATAAATCTTCATTTTGCATTTGTTTTTTTTATTATCTATTATGTCAATCAACTTTAAGGATTATCTGAGGGTATGGTGAAGGACAGAACAGATTTATGACCATGTCTTATTAATCAACCATCATCACAGATACATGTGAGTATGCAACTCTAGTGCAATATTACATTCACAAACATATCTATGTGTGCTACCCCTGTGCATTGGTACATGCATAAACATGTCTGTTTTTTCAACTTTTGTGCAATCACACTTGCACTTTAAATTAACAGGCCTAGGGCAAAGGTGCGATTTTAGCATTTTAGCTCCTTAAAACTGTGGTACGTGTTATCTGTTCTACGCTTGTCGTTTGGTTTTGTGTACTTTTCTGTTATTATCTTGGATTAAAAAATAAATATATGTACACTAATAAAAATACCACCAATTTGCCAGGGACAAAGGATAGAAACACCCATGGCTACAATCTGGCTCATTTAAAATCCGATTGCAAATGGTCTCACACTTTAAGATTATGAGAAGGCACAAGCATCACTTACATTTTATTCAATAACCATTTAGGTTCATCATGAGGGGTCATTTTTTTCCAGCAGGGTTATATAAGGTTCTTAACACCCACTGAGCAATAGACGGCAATTAGACGTGTAGTTTTTTATGACCTAATTTCAACCGTCTAGATTATGTATATTTTTAGACGGAATTTAGACGTTGCGCTTTAACCCATTATTTGATAACTATTTATTTCAAAAAGCAACTGAGAGTTGCATAACTGATCTCCAAGTACTTAACCAAATAATTATGATAACCATTGAGCAATATACAGTGTAGTATAGATACAACCCATATTTAGACTTGGTCTAAATTTAGACGTCTAAAATACATTTATTTTCAGACCTGTGGTAGCCTGATTTTAGACTAGTCGTCAAGGCTACATTTAGACATCTATTAGGCTACGTTCATACTGCAGGTTATGATGCACAACAACGAATGTGGCATCTTAAGGAATGCGTCCGTGAAGTGACATGCGCACAAAGCACAAATTGCTTTTCGCGCCTGTTTGTGTTGTCGAACAATGGTGACGTTTGTCGCATATTGATGATGTATAGGTCGGATGAACGCGCCTGAGCATCCACACTGTACTCACATCGGATACATTATTTAACAAAATTTAACAAAAAAATTTCCCCCTTGGGGGATCAATAAAGGAATATTATATTCCATTCTATTCTATTCTATTCTATTCTATTCTACACATCAGATTTTTATCCACATGCAAAAGAGGTCTGGGTCGGATTTGAAAAAATCAGAATTGCACTGTTCACACTTACATGAAAAAATCTGATATGTGTCACATATGGTGAAAAAATCGGAATTGACCTGCAGTGTGAACCTAGCCTTAGACAGACTTTCTGAGGACTCAAAATAGTGGCTTATAAAGATTTAGACAATAAACTTGTTATAAAATAAACTTGTTTGTTTATACTAATAACTGACAATCACGCCCCTCTGGCTCTCACTGTCGTTGGAAACATGGGTGTTGAGGTCCCCCAGTAGAACAAGGGAGTCCTCCGAAGGAGCACTCTCCAGCACCCCTTCCAAGGACTCCAAGAAGGGTGGACACTCTGAGCTGCTGTTTGGAGCATAGGTACAAACAACAGTCAGGATCCGTCCCCCTATCCGAAGGCGAAGGGAGGCTACCCTCTCGCCCACCGGAGTAAACCCCAACACACAGACACAGAGCCAAGGAGCAACAAGTATTGCCACCCCTGCCCGGCACCTCTCACCAGTGGCAACTCCAGAGAAGAAGAAGTCCAGCCCCACTCAAGAGGTCTGGTTTGAGAGCCCACACTAGGTGTCGAGGCGAGTCCGACTATATCTAGCTGGAACTTCTTCGGGCGAGAGAAACTCGGTGCCAAATATCCCCAGAGGCATAAAGCTCTGGGGATCATTGGGACACACAAACCCCTTCACCACAGTAAGGTGGTAGCTCGAGGAGGGGATATATATGTTTTGTTATGTTTTTAAAGGTTTTTTTTAAAGTGGCTAATTTACCTAATTAACCTGTGGGAGGAAACCGGAGCACCCGGAGTAAACCCAAACAGCAACAGGGAGAACATGCAAACTCCCAGGACCTCAAGACCTTCTAGCTGTGAGGCGACAGTGCTAACCGATAAACCACCTCAGAACTGTTTCAGTTCATTGTGGTTGTGTAGGTTGCGTAAGGGAAGCAGAACAGTCAGTGTCCTTGTCCTTATTTGGGGTGTTTTTTAGTCACTTTTTTATTCATTTGTTCATTACAATTTGGCAAATTAGGCGATGATGTCATTTAGTGACCTTTAGGCCAGCCAATAGCTACTTTCCTTACTGAGGAGTTGGCAACACTGAGGACCAGTTACTGGCTCTGGCTTAAGAGGAGTGACACCACCTGGGCTGCTAAGGCAAACAGCTAACCGTGAGACACACATCCAGGCTTAATCAACCTGTGGTGGGCCTGTCTCAGCAGTTGGTGTCTTGTGATAACTGGCTGAAACACCCTATGATGCTTAAGTACACAACCATCGCAGCATCATATCGAGAGCAGCACTGCTGAAGATACGCAATGAGTCTATTTTTGCCACTCTATGCTTCCAATGCGCGTTAGAGCAGCAAAAATAGACTCGTTGCGTATCTTTAGCAGTGCTGAGTGATTGTTGGTGTGCAGTGAACACAAACAATCAAATCTAACACATTGATGGTCTCGCACAGCAGATTATTAACATTGTCATCATCATCATTTTCTCCCGCTTATCCGGGTCCGGGTCATGGAGGCAGCAGCTTCAGGCCCTCACCCCAGCCACTTCCAGCAGCTCTTCCGAGGGGGTTTCCCAGGCACTCCCAGGCCAGACAAGAAACATGTGCAACAGATCTGCAAGTTTTCTTTTTGCACACTAGTATCAATCATTACCAAAAAGATAAACTGATTTCATGACACGCAGCCTTCACACACATTTTTATTTCTTACATATTGAACCTAAAATACAAATCAGCCAGATGTTGCATTGCTCCAGACCATCATTCAGGGAGTTTAAAGCTTTTTAAAGCCACCAGATGTCACTGTACCTGCAAAAATTGAACTCTAAATCTGCACAGCAGGAAACCTTAAGGCTTCATAGAGCATTATCACCAGCAAAATTACTGCATAAATTACTACCAGTTAGACTTACCTGGGACACCTCTACTGGGAAGTGTCCAGGAGGCATCCTTACCCTGAGGTTAAAATCCCTGAGGTACCTTAACTGGCTCCTTTGGATGAAAAAGATAAACAAATTTAAAACTTAGGAAAAAGGAGGAAAGTCAGCCTTTACAATGGTTTTTAAAAGTAAAACAGCTCTACAAAAACCCAACAAGCTTGTAACAGAAGTTTGAAGCAAAATATTGAAGAAAAAAAAAAAAATAATACATCCTCCCCTATCGCAAAGTACAACTTGGTACACTCCAGATTGCTAATAGCTGATAGGGCGACAGGCATTGATGAGCATGTATCTATAGGGCACCATCCTCAACCAGAGGCTTGACCTCAGCAACAAGAAAAGAAATGGTTAAATAACTTCACCGGTGACAACTAAATATTTAACTCAATGTGGAAGATGGCAGACTTTTTACCTGGTAGTTGAGGACTGAAGTAATGCTTCCTTATGAGGTCACTTACCTTAATTGTTTGGGAGCAGTCACTGACATAAATTGACTTGGACTAATGCACTTTAATTTGAGCAAAGTTCCGTTGTTTTGACCCAAACCTGCCAATGGTCTGGATGTCTTTGACTTAAGGTCCTCTAGCTGTATGAAGGCCTTATCTATGGTAAATACCTACAGTAGAAAAACTAGCCTTAAATGGCCTCTGGAGGGTATTTGGACCAAGCATAACAAACATTGTCTTGTTATCCTCAGATGCTCTGATCATTCTTTTACTGTATGAATAACCTGGAGACACTCAAAGTGTAAAGTTTACCCAACGCAAACATTTCTGAGAGGACATTTCATAGCCTCGTCATACATGCTTTCCACAAGTTGGTGGATGGTGAGTGTTCATCTGAGAACTTTAAAGCAGATTCATGTTTCTCTTCTTTTGCTGCAGGATGGTCTTCAAACTAATGAATGCAATGTCCTTACCAGATTATCCCAATAAGGATAAGGGACCTCTTCCAGCACCAGTAAAGAGGCTGTGGGACTATCTGCAAACAGAAATCACATGTTGTTTAAAAGAGAGTTGAAGAGGAAATCCAGGGATGTATATTGCTGTTATGTTGTAGATTCAATACATTTTATACATGTTGATTTATGTTGTATTGGGAAATCAGACATTTCTGAACCAAGTTCATAGACTCTTGTTGCCATTTTTATTGCTGTAACTTTGCTGCTATCTGTCCTACAACTTTTATCATAATTTTACAGCATCCAGCAGACATTTCTCTGTGTTTGAAATCCTTCAGTCCAAAGGTTTCTGTCAATGTGGGTCAATACTTTTAT